CGATGCGCAATTCAATCTTCTATTAAACGTTTTGCTGGGACTGGTACTAATGCGAATAAACTAAGAAGAGGCAGAAAAAGCATGACTGCTAGCCACCAGGACAGGAAACATAACCGCGAGCGTATCAAAGACCGAAAAAAATTTACTTTGGAGCTTGCTGCAGCTTTAACTGAAGAGGCTGGTAAACCCATAAGCGTTCGAACTGCAAGACGAACACTAATAGAAGCAGGTGTAAAAGGTTACAAAGCCAGAAAGAAGCCGTGTCTTTCAGCAGAGAACAAAAGAAAACGTCTTGGTTGGGCTCTGAGACACCAACATTTCACAGAGGAGTATTGGTCCAATGTACTATGGTCGACGAATCAATCTTTGAAGTAAGTTTTATTAATTGAGTCTATAAAATAATTGCAAAGATTATTATTGTATTAGTCTTCAAACTCAAATGTTATAAAGATTTGTATTGTGTCAATTTTGTTTTATCATTTCAGGTGTTTTGTACACCAGGTGTGACGATTGTGAGTCGACGCAGAGGCGAAGAATATCACTCAGATTGCGTAGTCCCAACCATAAAACACGGCAGAAGCCTCGTAATGATTTGGGGCTGCATGGCTGTGAATGAAGTCGGCAAAATGTGCATTTACGAAGGTCGCATGAACCAGTGAAAAATACATAAATGTATTAGAAAGTGCTCTTATACCTTCATTTTAGTGTATTTTTGGTAACACTAATTTACACGGGTTAAATTTCACCAGGAAAACGCACCTTGTCATAAATCAGCGACACGTTGCACTGGTTTACTGACAACTGTATCGCCCTATTAGATTGGCCTGCCTAGTTCCCGGATCTAAATCTAATTGAACATTTGTGGGGTATTTTAAAGAAAGACATCAAAATATATTCCACAACATCAAAAACTGCATTAAAACACGCTTTAGTTCACGAATGGGAAGCAATGTCTCTAGAGGAATGCGTGAACCTTGTACGCAGTATACCCTACAGAGTTGCTGCTGTAATAAAATCAAAGGGTGATCCAACAAAATATTAATGTTTTTGTGTGTTTTTAATAGAAATAAAGTTAATTAATCAACAAAAGTAGTTTTGTTTCTCTCTAAATCAAAAATATGAAATAATTCATAGGGTGCCTAATACTTTTGGCCAAGGCTGTATATATTGTCTAGACTTAGATATTATGTGGGATATTTAGGTATATGTAAGAATACTTATTAAGATATTGTTGTAATTGTAATGTAATTGAACGTAAATTGATAGACGGGGTGCGAAAGACTTCCTAAAATATAAGCCTTCCAAGCATGGTCAAGTACCTTTAATGGCGAAATGAATTACTCTGAAATCAACTATAAAATATAGTCAATTTGGTTTATAATTTAAAATACAAATGCAGTTTTCGTATATAAAATAAGCTTGTATTTATGATCTTCATAGAAACCTTCGTCCTACAAACTAAAAAGCGTTGGCACCACGTATCGTATTCGAATTTTAAAAAGTGTTCGTTTGAATTTGGAACACGCGTGTTGGTAACCTGATGTCACAACTAGACTCGGCCGGCACCGGCACTATTCCCACTGTCTCGTCGCGCGTCACAGAACGAATTCAATTTGTGTTTCAGAAATTCTGTTGGAGAAAACATTCGATTTTTAAAAAGTTATAAAACACTGTTTCATCGGTTAGGTACTTGATTTTTACCCTTAAATTGAGGCGTAGCTTTTTTTAGAAGGTAGTATTCTTATACTACCTTCTAAGAAATCTAAAGTAAGTATAAGTTAATCAAGTACTAGACAACTACCTACACTTCGTACGGAAAAACGAATGAAATAAGTAATAACATATTTTTATACGTATCTCTTTCAAAATCCCACCACAAACTGTCAACAAAACAACAACATAACGTCCTAACTTTAATGTAAGAGAGAATTCGAGGAAATGTAACTGAAGTTACAGTGCGATGGTGCAGAGACAGGTGTTACAGGTGTACTACTGTACTCGACTGCCCGGAGCTAAATGTCAGGAGGCGACGGCTGATATACAGACTCATGTATTGTGGAGTACCCACAGTACACAAGCCGCAATAGTGAACATTCTGTTATCTGTATGAAGAGTGTGTGAATGTAGCTACCTCCTTGTATGTATAGGTACTTTGATTCTTACAAGTACAGTAGGTGTCTTTATACCACAGTATAAAAATCGTACAGTAGGACGACGCCTTTGATCTGGTGTAACGCCGACATCGTCTAGACAGTAACGCATCGACCAAGGTTGTCGAAAATATGAGCTTATGGCACCGATTAGAAGTCGGTCAGTGGGTGAGTAACTCATCAGTACTGCACCATCATTTTCACCACCCTCGAAAAACATGAAAACTATATGACGCTATATGACGCACCCTATATGTACATATATAATATCACTTATAATATCACTTATAATTCACTTATAATATAATATCACTTAAAATCTACGTTTGATAGATTATACGTAATCATGTATTTAGCAGTTTGTTTTCTTATTTCAAGTAAATCTTAAATTCTAATATCGGAATAATGCACATTAGTTCTCAGATGAATTTCTAAAAATATTTTCTAATAAAATACTATATACGCATAAATAATGTTACAGATAATCTATTCACTTGTTTTATAGGCTGAAGCGACAATACCTTTGCTTGTTGATTAAAAAAAGAGCTGAAGCAAAGGCGTTTACTGTTCAGCCTTGTTTGATAAAACTACGGGTAGATAGATCTCTTGTTTCTGATGTTTGCATCATGGACAGTCTTTGGTGATTCTCTTTTTTATAAAGTTTTAATTACCTTATCAATTTGGAAGTATTTTTTAATTAATCAGATGAATTGAATATTCAAATTGTTGATATTTTGTTACGATCATACACTGTCAAGTTCGCATTTCAATCCTAGAATGAAATAACTATTTGAAATTGCCTACAGTCTACAATTAAATAAGTAGTAGTTTTAAACAAATTAAATCACCAAACCATAGCTTTCTGTCTTTGACAGTATACGAACGTCACAAAAACGTTTTCAGTTATTCGTACACATTCATTTATCCTTATAAATACCATTCATTGATTTGAAAACCAGTTTTTATGACTACAAGTACTTCTAAAGTCACAACTTTGTCCTCCACAGACAAGATCTGCGAAAACTACACTTATACAATTGTAATACAGACACTATTTGATTACAAAATGTTCATTCCAAACTTTACCTTTCAAATTGTTTTCAACTCTTATGAAACGAAGCTACGTTCTTATTACTTGAGCTATTCAATAATGATCTTCTTGTCCAAAGGTTTAGTGCCGAGATTGCCTTGCACTATATGTAATAATTCGATTCCTCTTCAAACACTACTACCTCCTATGTTAATATACTAAGTTGTAACACACACGAACAATTGAAAAGAAATAATATTTTTGAGTTATTGAAACAAACCTTTTTCGCTATTTTAAAATACTAAAAGTACTTTTTTATCTGTAGATTTTCACTTCACTATATTAAAAATACAAAATTATATCAAAACAATAGCACGATTCAAATAATATTAATAATAAAAAAAAAAGACTTTTACTAAAACAAAACATGTTTTCACTATTTTGAAATTCAATATTCTATTATTATAATTTTTGTCATATTTCAAGATTCTAGACACGTCTAACTCGCATACACTCAAAACTAGCCAATCAAAAGCTTAGCAAATATATTGCGACGTTTAACCAACCAATCACCGTACTTTAAAAACCTTAATGATAAAAACCTTAAAATTTCCGAATTACGCTAACACTGAGCAAAATTTTGTTTTGTTTTTTTAATATAGGTACATTTGAAAGGTTTTTATCATGAGCGAAAAACGTTTCAATTTAAAGATATTGTCTGCTCGCTTGCTCGAAAATAGACCTTATAGTCAAGCGTAACATCCACATTCCTGGCTTTATTAACACAGTCACCAGCACATCAAGCTACCAATTACTTTTTTTTTGAGGGGGGAAAATCATCCAATTGCTCCTCCCGCCCGGATGAGACGGGAGGGAAGTGTCAGATTCTTACTGACTAAAAATCACCCCGTTCCTACTCCTGCACTTCGAGCCAGAGCCCCGGCAACCCGTTGTTTTCCGCGGCTCCGTAAAGCTAGCAATTACTTAGAGTCGGTACTGAGTTAGTATTATGTACATGGAGCTACTAACATTGGCCCTTGGCCTTCACGAACCACTAACGGCTGATTTCAATATTCTATCTTAATCCAAAAGTTTAAGATTGATTTTTGACTGAAACTCTATACAACTAAATGTCAAAAATCGATACATATCCACAATTTTGGTTTGAGATACATTAGTAAAATTAGCCGTAAGACCGATACCAAACTCTTGTTTAGATTAGGCAGGTAATGTAACTTCTGTGAGCTTAGTATAAGTTGGTTATAATAATATGTTTAAAGTAATCGAAGCGAGGTGTACGCTCTTATTGGTTGGTTCATTAGAGCCAGCCAATCAGAGCGCTGGACGCGTACGCGTACTCGCTGAGTGACTATAAAAGACTTACAAGTCGGCATTGCTCGTGCTTGATGACATTTGCTCTACCAACCGTTGTTTAGAAGCACAGTTATTTTCTTTTAACACGTCATTAAGGTTTTCACAGCTAAGCAGTTTAAGTTCAGTCTCCCTCTGTTTTTTTTCGATTCACTCACGGTATTGCTGCCCTAACCCTAAGTCCTTGCAAGCATACTTGGTAGGTTGATATAATTAACGTCGATGGAATGTCCGACTTCATTATTATAGACATTCCCATCAACGAAATCCGACGTCTTAATGTGATTTTCGAAGCACACTGTTACTCTAATTTCTACAGTTAATTTTCAACGTTAACGCATTGTGATAAAGTGAAATATCTATTAAACGAAAGTGTAGCTTGACGTGCTTGGCCGTAATAAACATTCTTTTTACACATAATACATAGAAACCAATCACCTTATGATAGTTTAGACCATGAGTTTCCCATTCTGTTTGATCTCCCCATTGCTCTTATTGTTAGTGTCTGGTTGACGTTTGGTACAATGTTTGATGCAGCGCAGGAGTGGAGATACGAGGAGTACCAGGCCTGACACACCGATGAAGACTCCAGCTAAGTAGAATGATAGGTCATAGGAACCTGTCACGTCGTATACCCAACCTGGAAACAGAGATATGAATAGTTTTGAGGAGTGGTTGGAAATATCATATGGGTATACAATACAATACACATACAATAATATATCATAGGGTATGAACAATACTTCTATTTAGTCATAGAAATTAATTACCAAAAGTAAGCAGAGGTGCTTATTTTTACATGACACGGTTTTTTAAACACTCTTCCACACCATGTACCACACTGAGTCGAATTACAAATATCCAGTTATTTTCAGATTATATTACAAAATACTAACCAGCTAAAGGCGGCCCAATTAAATTGGCAACTCCTTGAATGAGCAACAGCAATCCGTAGGCATTGGTGAACTTCTCCAAGGTGATCTGTTCCACCAGTATGATGCTGGTGAGGGAGTAGTTGGCTGCGATGCAGGCTCCGAAGGCGCCTGATGCTGAAGCCAGCGTGAAGTAGCTGCCCAGCAGTGGCATGATCAGGGTGACCAGGCCACAGGCCACCATACACCCAGCGTACACTATGCTCGCGTTCACACACTGGAAGTCGCCCACCCAGCCTAGTAAGATCTGGAATTGAGATAAGATGTGATTAATGAGGATGTTGTGGTAAGTAAAAGTGGATGGTATTTAGAAATAAAATAAAGAAGCATAATATCATTATGTATAAGTTTTTTATAGGATAGAAGACATGAGAAGATGGAATACTTAATGCTAAGTGATCAGTGTCACCCAAGAACTATCTCCAGAACCCGTAGCACTAAAGGAGATACAATTAGCCTTTTTACAAAGAAGCGTGTTCTTTTATTCAAAATGTTCTTGTTTAAGGGTCGTATTAGTATGAAAGAGTATTTATTTGGCATAGATCTATATGTTGCTAATTCTGTCATTAGTTTCTTAAGATGCGAAGCTACTCTACGCAACATAGGTATAGAAACTAAACCCTTGTGCGTACTGCTAGGGAGTGGAATTCTTTGCCAGACTGTATTTCCTGAAGAGTGTTAATTAAAGAAATTATTAGCAGCGATCGTGGTGTCATTTCCAAAAAAAACTCCTGGAGCGCCATCCTAACAGTACGAAAGTTGTATTAACCAATCGACCTTCAATACAGTCTAAAAACCTTTGGATTACATTGCAAATGTTATGTAATAGTGACCTTTAGAATAAATTATGAATTCACATCAAGTTGTGTCATACAATTATGGTTACTATAAAAAATACTATGCTTAGTTATAATCGTGGTTATAATTGACAGTTACAAGAGATTTTAAATGGCAGAGAGATTTCTAACTGTGACAGTTGGTCACTTATGCTTTTTTTATAATTTTATTAGATTTTTAATTTTCGTACCCTGTCATCATCCCAATTGGCCATAAGGAGAGTAGCAGTATACACAAAAACACGAAAGCACACGTTCACTTTGAAACATTGTATTACGAGTACAAATCAAAACATCCTTATTTCCAATCGAGAATAAATTACAACAATAATTACATAATTTATCAGTACTTTACTTACACATGCAAGCTGTGTGCTTACGTAACAAAGTCTGTCTGTTATCAGTCGTATATAAAATGATTTAAATGGGTCAAGTTAAATACTGCTTACTAATAATAACCGTGATAAGAAAAAGGTAACTCTCGCAGTAGAATAAGTACTAGGGAAACCTATTTAAAAATAGAGAGTAAATTTAGAGATTTTTTAAAAATTTACGCCTTTTTTTGCAATTACAGTGAATCTAAAATACATTTTTCGCCCTAGTTTTTGATTACCTGCGAGACCCTTCCGAAGGCATTGACACTATCCTTCGTAATACATTTTGCTAAATCAAGAATTAAACAAATTATGAAGTTAACGTTTAACATACGTTTAAGGATCAGTTAATGTATCAATGTAATGTAAGAAACATTTTTTTTAAAGAGTAAAGAGTTTCTGGCTCGTTCTTTACTATTCGAAACTCTACACTTTGGAAATAGCGCCTAGCTTTACTGACCGACAGACGGGCGGACAATAAAATTTTTGAAGTTTTAAAAGTGAGGTTCTCACAAAATTACAATCATCACATACTGTCAAATGTTTACCTACATACCATTACAATCAATACTGCTGTTATGCTAAATAAAATAATTTAGTTGAAAAAAATTAACTAACCTCTCCGAACATGTTCAGTATTCCAATAATGGAGATGAGCATAGACGACTGAGACTCGTTGAAGCCCATGCTCATTCCACTGTCAGCAATGTACACGTACGGTACGTCATACCACATGTACAGCAAGAAGTTTGAGATGGCGAATATCAGGAATGCAGGGTTCAAGAAGTGGGAGAAGTCCAGCACATCCACTGCCAGGTCCCAGAAGTCCCACAACCCTGCGTACCATTGCACCTGGAAATGTGAAAAATGGTTGTTGTTTAGGAGCTAATATTCAAAGTTTATAAAATTCTCTGCCTTGTATGATGTAAAACAAAGTCGGTCATTGCGTCTAGCTATTCACATAAACTCAAAACTACTTAATAGAATTTTATGCGGATTGGATGAATATTGAGAATACCTTGAACGTGAAAACGCATAATACAATTTCAGCAGTAAAACTAGTAGCATGAAGTTTATTCCTTTGAATGTTATAACTTTAATAAACTATTTGTAATAGTCAACGTTGTTTATTGTTTAACTTGGTTTACTTATTTGTGACATTAGCAACATTGCATCTGTATTGCATAAAGATAATCACAAAATAATAGTAACTTGTTATTACCTTTTCTTTGGCAATGGTGGTCATGGAGTTCCTGAAGATGTTGGGGCAGGAGGACGCTCTGAGTCGGTAACGGTTGATGTTAAGCATGGCGCCGCGGTACGTCAGCGAGTGACGGTGCACGCGCAGGTCCTTCAGGAACGCGGGCGGCTTCTTCGTGGAGCCCGTCGCCTGCCGCCGCAGCCACAGCGACAGCGCCGCCTTGTCGTTGATGGGCGCCGAGCTGGGGGCCGGCGGCCGCGACGTGCTGGTCGGCGACAGCGCCCCGGGCGACCCCACTCCCGGCGACATCAGCGCGCGCGGCGGGGACTGCTCATGCAGCCGCCCGCTGTCACTGAAGCTCCTCGACGGGAGCATCACTCCCGGGTAGTTCTGCGCCAAGATGGCGTACGCTCGACCCCTGTTCGACATCAACTCGAATACTTCTAACGACACTCCTTCGCCTCCCGTCATGAATGTCGGCAAGTCCACTAGAGAACTAAACTGAGGAACGATGGGTGATGTTACAGTTTCTATATCAACTGTTTCATTCGCTTTCGTAGAGCCAGCAGCACTACTCTTACTGTCCGAAAAACTATCTGCAGAAGATGCTTGATAACGCTTTAACCGCTTCCTTTCTCTTTTTCTTTTCCTTTCTTTTGCCCTTTCCTCATTCATTGTGGTTGTCCACGGCAAGTCTCTGAACAACAGACCACACACTGCCATATTTAAAAATAAGCCAGCTAATATTAATGTGGTGCCACGCCACCCATATTCATCTAATAATACATAGGTCAGGGGCGCGAACACAAATGTTCCGATGCCACTGCCACACACCGAAATTCCGGTGGCTAAGGAACGTTTCTTCTCAAAGTAATAAGCAACTATAACTACTGCTGCCACGTAACACAGACTCAATCCGAATCCGGCCATTATACCGAACGTCAAAAACAATGTCTCCATATTATCTACGAATGCCGATATGACGAATCCTATAGCAGCTAGTATCGAGCCAAATATCGTCATCCGTCGGCACCCGTACCTATCCGTAAGGAAGCTCGCAATGGGCCCGGATAACAGCGGCATCGCCATGAAGATACCGGCGATCCAGGCCGTCTTGCCTTTACTCTCGCCGAAATACTCCAGGAAATGTGGGAAGAAGACACCGAAGCTGAACGTGATGCCATCGGCAATGAGATTGACCATAAAAGAGGCGAACACGACGACCCAGCCCCAGCCACCGTCGGGCGGGCGCGCCTCAGCAATGGACACGTCCTCGTCGTCTGAGGAGCTGGAGCTGGTGCTGGAGCCCGACACGGACACAGCCGCGGGGGGCGACTGCGCGTCGAACTGCACGTGCAGCGGCCGCCCGTTGTGCTTGCGCGCGACATTTTCACTGATAGCACTGACACTGAGCGGATCCCGGAGCAAGGGCTCGCTTTCGGGGATAGAAGCTAACGCGCGCGGCGCGGGCCGCGGAGTCTCTGGCTCGTTTAAGGCCTCCGCGGGCGGGGCTGAGGTATCGATGGTTTCGCGGGGTCCTCCTTGGAGCGGCCGATGGTTCGCGCAGTCCGGCGTCGGCGAGAGGCGCGCGCGGTCCATTCCGGCAGGGCGCGACGAAACTGCGCACGCAGCGTGTGCAGCGCGTGATCAGCAGTCCGCCGGGCTTCCATGCGGACACCACACCACCGCCGTGACCTCATGCTGAAACAACACAACACTCTATTTACTCATACATACAACACAACGTGAAAACCTTAATACTAGGTACTTAATTGCTTTATAACTGAGACCCTAATCAACCCTACAAACGCGCACAGTAAACACAAGCACACATCTCACCACTTTCAAAGTTATTCGATATTCCACTGCGGATTTATTTGATTTATCTCCAAGTAATGTCTTGTCACCTGACCTACGCACATACGAATAACCCGAGCGCCCAGTCCTCTCTAATTGGCTCTTTTCTATCAACTGAAATAGGAAACGAGTATAATGGACGTTCGTTCATCTGCAGCGGATGCTCCAAGTGCTAAATCGTCGATCTGCAGAGACCGTTGATTGGTGGACAATGGACGCGCCGAGAGGCCATGCAAAGACCGCTTCTTGTATTTATAGATGTGAATATGAACATCTTGAGGAATATTCAACTGTCGTTTGTTGAGTTATAACAAGACGTATACATAGTTTCTATATATTTGTTACGATTTATCGCAATTTATTTTCTATGAGAGCTGTACAAGACGATACACGTTTGTTAAACGGTTCATCATTGCTTTTATTCAAATTTTATAGATACATATTAAGCTTTTTCTATCTAGATTGTAAACGAAATAAGCGTGACATTAACAAGAACACTCAGCCGGCCCTAAGATTTTCAGGCTCAGTAGCGAACTCTGTCCTAAATCCTAATTAACTCGACCTCTGCCACTTACACTTACATGTCTCCGACGTAATTGTTTCACTCCAGGGCCGACAATTATTGCGTACATGTCAGATAGGTAGGTATTGTGTTAGTTACAATTATTATAAGATGGTTCGAGATCTTAATAAATCTTAATACATAATTATTGTTTTACAGGGTTATTATTGCATAACCACGAACCATGGATTTCTATAGGTACGCAAAACGAAACACACGAGATTATCAATACGGTTCCTAAATCATAAAATACATTTTTTAAGCTATGTTCACATAGGTACACAGCAACCCTAAATGAAATATGATCACTTTGAAGCGGCTCATTTTTATGGTGACCCTTAGGCCCTCGGGACACATTTTTTACTCCCCCGGTGACAAAAGTTTAATAAAAACAAAAAGTTAAAAACGCCCTTAGAGAATGTAGCTTTTTCGAGAACATTTTTTTATCATCTGGGAATACACGAGCATGTTTCAAAAGTTGTTGGACACGTCTGGCAAAGGCAACCTGGCTTTTGTTACGACGCGCGACGACCTATAGACCTAAGCACCCTTGTGGCCTTTTTGCAATGAGCCGTTGAAGTTCTCTCACAATATCACCGTAGGTAAGTACTTACATAGTCAGCAGATTCACTTTAAAATTACTAAAGTTCCGACATTTTGCTGCGTAATGTTGAAGTTTTCATGAACTTGAACACAATAACAGGTCCCATGTACTCAAATAACAAATAACTAGTTTTAGTTCAAACAATATAAGTTTGGAAGTACAAACCTATATTTACGGTGTCACGTTAACAAGGAACGTTCCAAATGAAGGACAAATAAACGAATTGGGAGGTTTGTTACGTGATGTTAATTAACTAATTAGTGTGTCAACGTTGTCGTAATCCTTCGTCACACTTCAAGCTCCTGGTACAAGCCCTGTCACTCGGTAGCCTCCCAGCAGGATTTAATATCGTGTTATATTACATTTTCCTTTGAAACAGTCCACGTGACAAATATTTCGGTAGGGACAGTTTTTGTGACAGGTAGGAGATTCACTATGGCCCTGACACGTTTGTTATAGCGTCGAGTCAACAGATTATAGGTATGGTTGTAATTAGTTACGTTGGGTAACATCAATAACTACCAAAATAATCATTCTTATTAATTCACGACATTAATAGGAATTATGGAAGATATGGAAATATATTCCAAAATAAAAATAATAATGGGATGTGTAGTTTAAGTAGTTTAAAACTTCTTAACAGTTTCAACGGTAGATCCGGGAATACCTACATTTAGAATATTCTCAGAAACACCTTGGCTCTATTTTTGGCAGCGTATTGAAATTTTTCATTAAATTTTCATACCTAAACGCGTCTGTGGTGTATCTGCGAGGTATGTCCTGTTCGGTGAACCGCATTGCACCATGTATCATATGACCTGTTTCTGAACAGGGTCACTTGCGCTGCTAGCTTGCATTAGCCTATATTTCTGATTAGCCTGCATGTTCAAAACGCGTATACAGCCTGTTGTTGCCACGGTAACAGTACAACGTATCGAAGAGTGAGCCCTGCTCGAGCCTGAATTAAAATTTCTAAACAACCGATGTAATATTTAAACAGCTTTAGGTACTTCATAGTGCTTACGGACTGCCTTTCAGTAAATCTAGGCTAAGGCGTTGTTTGCACAGTCTAAGAAACAATTCCAGTCTCAGTTTATGTTCATGTTTGCGTATTGCGTTGAGTCGTCAAGTCGCCTGTAATTCCACTCGGCTTTACAAACAGGTCACATAACAAAAAATAACGATGAAAGGTCACCGAATAACATGTTTACCATTTAGAACTTTTGTGGTAATTCACTGTTACAATTCCAGTTCAGTTCGTAAAAGTTAACAATTTATAGAATACAATTCGTAGCGTGTGTTCTGCTGAATGTCAGAGAATTTCGTTGTTTTTCATTGGAACTAACAAACTGATTCGATTGAATGGCAAAGGGTTTATTGGAACCAGCGTTAGCGTTAGCACATAACTGGACACGGATCGCTGCTTTGTTTTATAAAAGGGATTGAGCGATCTTTTCACTCTGAAGCTTTTTAGAATAGTTTAGCCGTTTATATGTACCTACATAGTGAGTGACACAACAGAATTTCAATAAACACTGGGACGACGTGATCCATCGTATACCACATCATCGCTTACCACCAGCCGAGATAGTGGTCAAACGTCAGCCCATCAAATATATAAAAAAACATTTAAGTCATCGAATGGAATTTCAACCATGAAAGAAGGAAAATGGAAAGTTTCCCTAAGATGGACTTATGTCAAATAGTTAGAACAATGCAAGATCGAAAATAAGTACGTATACATGCTAAACAAAGATGCAGATTTTGATTAGGTAAGCACACATTTTCTTCTATTCAAATCCTTGAGGACGAAGCAGTAAACTTTATTTATTTCTCAGTAACCGAGTAAAAGAACATTAAAACTTTACGACCATAAGAAATATACGAAATACCTATGTAACGTGGGTTTGAATCGGACTTGCCCTTTAAATATTTAATGTTTCCTGACCGGGAGCCGGGAACATGTGTTGTGTACGTACGAATCTTAGCTACGCCTCCGATGTTCATGGGAGAAATGGGTAATAAATCCAATTTTCTGACTTTGACTGGTAGCTAGATACACATGAATCCATTACATTTAAAATAACAGTCGTTGAAAAATAAAATACGTACTTTAAATTGTTTGAAAGCAGATGTATTTGGTTTCGTTTCTGAGTATTGTTACTAGGATAAATCGATTGTCATACAATTTGTAATGACTTTTGATGATAACAATGTGTGTATAAATACCTACAGTCTCACATATTCAATAACGTGCATATTCAGTATATAAGACTAATGTAATTTAGGTACTGTATTCATACACGTATTACATAAAATTAAAAGATAACAAAAGCAATGAAACCGTATTTGTAAAAGCTTTACTCCAAGCTCAGATCAAAGACCTTCTTAAAACAATTGTCTGCGATTAGTACAAGACACATTAAGGCGCATTAATTAGTATTTAACTATAAACTACATCTCCATTAGTTGAGATAGAATAAATTGAGTACTTTAAAACAATTAAGCTCATATTAGCATAATAGGTCTACTTAGGACGAATCCAGTAATTTATTCCAGCAGCCATCTAATTCGAAAGTGATTAGAAGTATTTTTGTTCAGTTCAATTATCTTATTTATGTTTATTTGTTGTTCTGTTTACACAACAAATGTTTTCGGTAATGATCTTTTAAATTAAGACAAATTTAATCAGAAAAGTATAAGTAAGCTCTTTTTATCTTTTAATTTGTTTTCGAAGGGTGAAAATATAGGATACAGAATTCTATCGGAAGCCTGAACTGTCGGTCTCTTACTATTTGAAATCACACAATATAGTAATGCTGCATAAGATTCAACTTTTTTACTACAAATGCACTACAATGAAACTACTAAAATTGCAACATGTCTCCAAATTCCAATAACTAGTTCTACTCGTACAAAACATCGATGATACTAGACTCTAGAGCTCCTCTTTCCATTGCACTAGACCTTGGTTCGAGGTCGACACTGTAATATATTTTTATTTTAGAACACAATGTTCACTTCCTAGATTATTTCTTTATGTCTGTAATTATTATTCATCACAGTTTTTCAAAGCGAACAGTGAATTATTAGCGCAGGCGTATCTGACACCCAGCTTCTTAACACGTTAACCGCCGCGTAGGTCATCGGACACTTAAAAAAAAAAAACTTTAGCGGAAGATTTGCCTTCAAGAGTTTTCTGTCGGCAGTCAAAGGCTTAATTTTGGTTCAGTCGATATAGTTTTAACGATTCTTGTAATGTGATCAAATGCCATATGACAACGAAATAACATAGTAAATATCGTCATATTCGGAACAAACAATTATCACCATATCTTCAGGTGGTGTTTGTTTAGAAATCTCACAATAACAGGCGCTAATAACAACACATGGTTTGAGACACATGACAAACCGACTGGCCACCTTCCAGACACAGTTTACGTCAAATACTATAAATAATACAAATGTTTGGCAATACAAACTCGTCGCCAGAAAGGTGGGTGAAAATGTCTATTTTTCGTACAATATTTGGAGAAATTTTACGACAAATACTTCAAAGCCAAATTGGGAAAATTC